CACTTTGCAAGCTGAATGCTAGATACACTTTTATTTGTCTTAAATGCCAGGAAGACTTATTTCAAATAAGGCCGAGAAAAGTTGTTTCCCAACCATAGCAAATAACTCCTCATCTGTATTAGTGATAAAAACAGTTATCAAGTCAGGGAAGACCATTTTATCAGAATGATCCTCAGTGATAATGATGATAAGTTTCCGCAGAAAAGGCGGCAACGAGGATGATGATGGTGACAATAACGATAATGATGGTGACACTGCTAATACTCAGCCATACAAGGCGCTGTACAGATGCGGATTTCCGCACTGTTTCGCTCCCTACACTCATCTGAACTGGCTGTACAAGCATATGTGCAGTCATGTGCATGCAGATCCATTCATTTGCCATTATAAAGGTTGTGGAAAGAAAATGGATAGCGAAGACAAGCTACTCGAGTGAGTTTTTCAAAATTTAATATGCTCAGTTTCGCGTTTTTTCCAAATTTCATCGTCAGTGACGGGCGGGAACAATCGGAAGTAGCGTTAGTGGTAGCATGCGCCAACTACACATCTATCTGCTGGCAGAACCGCCAATGACGATGGCACTCTTTTTCGCGATTTGCTTAAAAGCAAGTTCTTGGCGGTTCTCAGTACCTCGTCTGAAGCAACATCAAATTTCCATCGAAACGAATGAACAATTCAAAGAAGACTGTGTTTTGTTGGAAAGGAAGAAAATTCGTTTGTTATAAAACTAGTCAGCTGACCTTGAGCTCATGAAGAAAGAAGTCATTTTCCTCTCGGCCGATACATATGGTGCTCTGACGTAAACACAAAATGTGTTTTTTCATGAATTTATTTATTTATTCAAAATTTCTTCATGAAGTTCTTGAATAGAAAATTTTTTGCTAAAGAATATTTTCTAGAGTATGAAAATTTCGAAAAACCACCAAATTTTCTTATCATTCTCACGGTGCATTACTGTAAGTCAAGTGTAGTCACCCCTTTAAACACCTATTCAGATTTTTTTGTCCGAGGTTGTCTGTCTTGCCGCCAAGATTTCGGGTTTCAGAGGTCATCCTGCTAGCTGCTCATTATATTTATTGAAACATACAATATAACTTGTCAAATTTCAGCCATTTTGAAGCGCACGTTGACGACGCATGCTTCTGCCGAATCTGCAGACTGCCATTCAAAAGTCAATCCAGTTTAAACAGCCACAACCGACAGCATCATTCAAAAAAAGCTGCACGAGAGAAATCAACTTGACTTGCAGATGCAGTGGAATGAACGCTCTTTTTTTCTTCTCTTCACCATGGATTGAATTTATGCTCAGAATAAAGCAGTGCTGAACAAACCGATGCATCAAAAACAATTTTTGCTTCGATAGCTCGTCAAATTCAATAACCGAATAATATTTATAATTCACGGATTACAATCAATATTACAGTATCATTTATAATTCTGCTTCAACTCGACAAGTAATCACTGGTAACGCACACCAGGCTGACCTTTGTGATCATTCGTTTTTACAGTATTTCGTATTGGAATAAGATTGTTTGGAATCACAATAGTTAGAATATGTGAAATACTGGTTCTCGAAGTTCAGGAAACTAACTGTGCAACTACGTGGTACTTGAACAGGGAAATTTCCGTTTTATTCCATCTCTACTGGTTTCTGACTTAGCAATTTTCCAGCCAAGAATTTTCATGGGCCCTTACGTGCGAACCATGTACACTTGAGGGCTGAATTTGAAATCTTTGATTTCAACAGACGCGGGGAAGATTCCGCTAAAATTCCAGCCTTCCAGCTTTTCTGGGTCCCGGATTTACGATTTTTCTGCTAAAACATTCACGTGCTCGTAGGCGTGACCCTGACGCGCATGGAGGCTGGTACTGCGGTCCCGGAATGGCAGTAGGTTAAGGAACCCACTGGCAAATTTTCGCGCCGGAGTTTGTTTGGTTGCCAAGTTGAAGTACGTGGACAGACGCACACACACACGCACATACACACATGCACACACAGGCATGGATCGTTACAATATGCTTTATAGCATTTCTATGTATGCAAAAACTC